TATTTATGAACTTGAGAGGCAGAGGGAGCCAGAGCCAGAGCCAGAGATGGAGACAGAGACAGAGATACAGACAGAGATTCCCAAATGCCCACAGGCTGGGGCTGGGCTGGGCCTGGGCTAGGGCTGAAGCCGGGAGCCAGAAACTCAATCCAAAGTTTCCCATGTGGGTGCCAGGAATCCACATACTTGAGCCAATACTGCTGTCTTCCAGGATCCACATCAGCATTGAAATTGGGTTCAGGAACTGGAGTCAGGGCTCAAACCCAGGTACTCCAGTATGGGACACAGGCATCCTAACCATTGTCTTGACTGCTGGGCCAAATGTCCACCCTGACTCTTCATTCTTTAAGGAATGAAGAAAGAGTCCTTACAAAACAAAGACCATTAAACTGGAAGCCCCTCAGTAATCATAAGACAAAGACAAAGGGCCAATATATATAAATGAATGATGCACAATAAGAAGAAGGAAACAAATTACAGTATTTAAACTCAAAGGATTATTATAGTTTCAAAGTATAAAAATGCAACTTTTAAGTTTAAAAACTTAAGGAAGTATGTAGGAACCATACTCAATAAACATATTCAGAGATTTGCATATATATTGTGATCACAATTTTATATAGCCATTTTTACTCTTCTACTTGTTCCTTTATAATAAAGATCAGAAAAGTGACCTTTAAATAGTTGGAAGAGTTGAATATTTTTAATAAAGACATCTACCTGTCTGGAGAGAAGGAAAGAAAGAGTGAAATTGAAAACCATAAATAAGTGGTTTTAGAAGGTATATTTTGAGGTCCTAGAACCTGGCCTTATAGCCTGGAAATGTGGAACAGATCTAGAGGCGAAATTTTGGCTACAAAGGAAGGGCTACAAGTCTGGGTTTTCTTGAATTGTTATTTATTTTATTGTTTTAAAGGCAGAGCTACAGAGCGAGAGCAAGAGTCCTCCATCTGTTGGTTCATTCCCCAAATGCCGGCAACTACTGGGGCTGGACCAAGCTGCATCCAGGAGCCAGAAATAAAAATCTAGGTCTCCCATGTGGGTGGCAGGTGCCTAAGTCCTTGCACCCATCAGCTAATGCCTCCCAGGATGCGCATTAGCAGGAAGCTGGATCAGAAGGTTGAGAAGGCAATAGAAGATGGCCCACGGGCTTGGGCCCCTGCTCCTCATGTGGGAGACCTGGATGAAGCTCCAGGCTCCTGGCTTCAGCCTGGTACAGTTGTGGTGGGCCTTTGGGGAGTGAATGAGTAGATGGAAGATGGAGCTTTCCTACTCCCTCCACCCCAACTCTGCCTTTCAACTAAATAAATCTTTAAAAAATAAAAAGTGGACTTTTCCACAGGATATAGCATGAAAGTTTGAGCCAATTTTACATAAATTTTAAAATGAAGAAAGACTTCAGGCTACTATTCTGGATACATGAATTGAACCAAAGGAGTTATTCAAGAGGAAATGAGAAGCCGTGGGACCCAGAAACCCTCAGAGAGAAAAAGAACAATGGTCAAGAGTTGGACTGGAAAGAATTCCTCCTGATGTGGGACCTACTTCTCTCTTCAAACCACTCTGGCTACAGCCTAAAAGTGCTACAGAGCTGACAACGGCACTTAGACGTCCCCCAGCTTGGCAAATGCCAAGTTCAAATCATAACCTCTGTCTTCAAAGCCAGAGCGCCTCCTCTAGCCTCCTTTCAGTCCTACTTGCTCATCCAGTTTTAGCTTGAAGAGCCTGGGTGTCCACTGTGGTGCCTCATTTCCCTGACAAAGGGAGACACAATGGATAATGCGGTGGGGTGGCGGGGGAGTGTTGGGGACACAATTATTTCACCCGACTGTTTTACTTCTGCTGCCAAATGAATTATTCAGCCCTGTGGTTTGGCTGTGGATTATCTGGGCCAATTGCATCTCCTTTCTCTCTTTGGATGCCTGCCCCCATTGCCGGGTCACTCACTGTTCACCAGCCCAATAAGCAGATATGTGGCCTGAATAGAAAGATACAATTCCAACAGATTTTTTCCATTCTTTATTAAAGAATGGGATCTCTTTTTGCTGTTGTTTTTGGTAGTGGGTGAGGTATTGGCAATGTCATGTTCTCTTTGGGTGTCACTGTTTTCCTATCCCCCTTTAAATTTGCACTGCCAGAAATATAATCACTTATTCTCTGGCTACTACAAAGCTTAAACAGTTGCCTTTTGCAAGAGTTATTTTTAAGGTTTCAATGCAGATCATTTTTTTCAAGGCTAAAAAGTAGTTTCAAAGGCAAGGACAGGGCAAAAGTGACACCCAGACTTGGTTTTGATAGGGTTTCTTGGCTTTACTTTCTCACTTCCAGCGTGTAGAACAGTCAGAAGGTTTTGCGGGGTGGGGAGTGGGAAGTGGTATCTCTGGCCAACCTTTTTGAAAATTTTATTGCCAGAGCAGTTTTCTTCCTTCTCTTTCATGTCATAAGAGCTGGGCTGGTCACTGAGGTGAGAAGGCCGGGGCCCAAGCCTTAGGGACAGCCGAGGTGACAGTTACAAGAAAGGTGGAAGAACAGAAGCAACATTTTCCACTAAAGCTGTCCTGAAGGAATAAATCTTATCACTATGGATGGTTCACAAGCAAGAGCACAGAGATGCCACATAATGCCATGATCCAATGGAGAGACGCAGAATCTACACTGGCAGGTGTGAACCCAAGCTCTCAACTCAGAAGCTAAGTTGATCTTGGGTAAATTATGTATCTTCCCTGGGCTTTAGTGTCCACACCTTAAAGTAGGGACTAATAACAAGACACAGAAAGAAAATCATTGTTATGCTTAAATGAATTGCTATTTATAAAATGCTTGGGACAGTACTGGACACAAAGCAAGTGAGATTGTGTATACATATGTGTGTCAAATAAGTAAATCAAGAAGTGGGATGAGGAAAGGATCTTATGCCCTTTCTCGCCTCACTCTCTCTTATTCTTACACACAAACACACACACACATACCTTCCACCTCCCCAGCAGCCTCGGTAGCAGGTCACTGGCCCTGGGAGTTGGAAGCTACTGTTATTAGCTAAGCTAGTGAATGATCACTTAGTATATCTACAGACTTCACACCCATGAGCTCAGCAAGATCCATGGTGCTAAGCAAAACACAAATCACAAAAGATCTATTCCCGCCAGCATAGATGTAAGGGCGTATCTCTGCCTAGTACCCCAATTCCTCATTCCCCATAGCAGGTAAGGCGATCATGGCCAAGGGCATGGTGTATGGCAATCTGAAGGAGGTGACCTCATGGCTGGGCCTGTTTGTCAGGAGTGGCCTGAGTGGTGTTGTAGCCAAACTGCAGGCTCAGGTCACTTCCTTGCCTGTCTCAAACCATAACTGGAATGGCTTCCCTCTTGGGGCCACTGAGAAGGAGCAACAGGAAGGAGTGGGCCAGGACAAACTGAAAGGCATGGGATACATGGCAAGGACCTGAGCCAAGCCCAGTTTACACAGAGAGAAACTGAAACAGAAAGGAGCAAGAAACAGGGAATGTCTTGAGTTTTCAGAGGACTGATTCTTTTAAATGTTTTGTTGGGGATATCATTAAGGCAAGATTGAAGGGGCAGATGTTTTAGCCTAGTGGTTAAGTTGCTGGTTAAGGGGCCAGCCTTGTGGTGCAGTGGGTTGGGCTGCCTGAGACCCCAGCGTCCCATATCAGAATGCCAATTCTGGCTCATTTGCTTCCAATCCAGATCCCTGCTAATGTGCCTGGGAAAGCAAAAGAAGATGGTTCAAGTACTTGGGAATCTGCCTCCCACATAGGAGACCCAGATGGAGTTCCTGGCTCCTGGCTTTGACCTGGCCCAGCCTTGGCTGTTGTGGCCATCTGGGGAGTGATGGAAGACCTCTCTCTCTCTCTCCCTATCTACTGACATTCTACCTTTCAAATAAATAAATAAATCTTAAAGAGAAAAAGGTGCCGGTTAAGAAACCTGCATTCTCCCATCTGAGTGCCCAGGTCCCCACCTGTGGTTCCTGAATACAGCTTCTTGCTAATGCAGAACCTGAGAGGCAGCAATAATGGCTCAGGCAACTGGTCCCTGCCACCTATGAGGCTGACCTTGATTAAATTCTCAGCTCTAGTCCAGACCCACCTGTTGCAGGCATCTGGGGAGTGAACCATCAGATAGGTTCTCTCTCTGTCTCTCTCTATCCCTCTTACTCTCAAATGAATGAATGAATGAATGTATAAATGATTTCAGAACCCAAATACAAAATGCATATGGCCACTATGATAGCATCTGGCAGGAAGAGAATGTGATGGCAGGACAAGTTACAGTGGTCTTAACTTACTGTGGTTAATATAGCTTACCCCAGTTACCCAAGTATAAGATGTGACCACACTGCTGGGGACCCTCCTGAGGCCTTGGGGATGTGGAAAAGGTGAGTGGGGAAGCCTAAAGTTTCCGCTTCATTAATTTCACAGTAAATTGCTTGAGGCAGTTAGCCTAAGGCACACAGCTGCCAGAAATCGGTACATGGTGACAACGGTGGCCCATGGGCACTGGGTGATGCGCAAGGGAGACAGGAAAAGGAAGGCCAAACATGTGGAAATTGGTGCGCTTTAACAGAAAGAGACTTTGAGAAGCCCATTAGCTGTTTTCCAAGAACCTGATGATGACAGATGTGGAACAGAGGAGACCAGAGGGAGTGCATGTGGAGCAAAAGGATCACTTCACAGTCCCCTGGCGAAACAGCCTCCCCCGCTCCCCAGGCAGGCCAGCCTGCCCCTGCTCTGGGCATCCAATCTGCTGGGGGTGAGCAGGCAGCAGAGGACAAGGGCAGTGTCATGGGCTGCATGCCAGCTGGGCCTGCCTCTCAGGCCTGACGCTTCTCTCTTCTGCAGGAGCTCTTTGGTTTATTACAGTGTGCAGCGCAGAGTCAAAGGGGAGTGAAACCTGCCAGGTCTCAGGTCTGGCTGGTGGTGGGCAGACCCATCAGGAGACAGTAAAAGGATCTAGGATTTGATAAAGTGCAAAGATTCTTACCAGAGAGCAGGAGGGCCATCACAAAGACCGTGACACTCAGTCCCATTGTGCTAGAGTTACAAAGAAAAGATAAAGCTTGATTAGAAAATGAAACTGAAAACCAACATCCACCAAAATGTGACCTAGAAATGGAGTTCAGGAGTCACTCGGGTGCCTGGGTGTGGCAGAGACAAAGCTATGTGCTCACTGAAACCATCTGCTTCTCCTCTCAGCGCCACAAAGAGGCTATGTTTCCCAGCCTCCCCTACAGTTCGGCAGCCACGTGACCAGGTTCTGATCAATGGATTGAGAGCGAGAAAGATGTGTGTTGCTTCCAGACATGGACGCTGAAGCCCCCTCCCTCTGCTTTCCCTTCTGCTTCTTCAGATGCAGGGGGTGCAGAGGGAAAGTCCAAGGGCTCACAAGATGAAAAGGGCTCACAACGGAGGCGAGCTGATTTGCTGAGTAAGTGAGTAAAACAGCACCCCACCCCTCACCACCAAGTCACTGATTCACAGTGGACAGTGACATGAGCCAAAAAGCAACTTTTATGGTGTTATGCTAAAGACATTTGGGGGTTGTTTATTGCAGTAGCATGAGCTATTCTGATCAATATTCTAGGTGTGGTGGGACACATGGACAGTATTTATGTTTAGAAATCAGCCTTTCTTTGGTTTCCCTGTTGGTTTTACATTTTCCTGTGCATAAAAACCTGGGAGATCATGTGAAGCAGCCTCCTGGCCCTCATCCACAGACTGTCTGATTATGAGGTTGGGGTGAAGTGCATTAATTTTTATGGCCAGCAAACTCAGAAGGGAGGACAATGCTGTTGGTCCACTTGGAAAACCACGGCACTTAATCCACACAGGGGAGTCACAGAAAATGACATGCATGGCTTTGTAACCTCTGTCCTCAACTTCCTCATCTCCCTTTTTTCTCTTCCTTTACGCTCCTTCTTAACCCAACATAGACCAAAAATGCTATAGGCTGGCGTACAGGGAAGCACAACATAAGGAAAGACAACCAACCTAGAAACAGGTGGGAAAAAAAAAAGAATGAAAATCAAACACAGGAATATAAAATAGAACCAAGCATAAGGTCACTGCTAGATGCTTACCTTGCTTTGGACAGGGCACAAGTTTGGCTTCTAGTTTTTTAACAGCCAATGTGAAAAGGAAAAGCCTAACCAATGGATTAATCCCCAAACCTATCTACTAATTCCCAGGTTCATTGATAGAAACAAACCAAGGCTCAGGAGAAGATGCACAACTGTGCTTTATCCAATAGCGGAAATCCCTTTCCTGGGACAGGTTGGGGGTGGGAGGGATCTGAGGTTGTCTAGAGGCCATTCTTTTCCTTCCTCTCTGCTCCCACAGCACGGGGCATTGGACTAAAAGATTAGGTTCTTCCCTTCCAGACCATAACCCTTCTATTTGAAAGTATGTTTTTAAAATAGATCCTACTGGCACACAAAATTTAACAGGTAAAAGTGGTAAATTGTGGAATGCAAGTCTCTCCCCCAAACCTAGTTTTCTCCATAAACATAACGAGTGGTCCTTGCTACCTGTTAACCAATTTCTTGCTTCTGCTTGCAGTTATTTTATGCAAAACAAAATGAAAACACCAATCCATAATTGTTTTTCACTGTATCCCTAAACACCAATGGGAGCATGCTGTGCAATGAGGTGAATATTCTATGTTAAGGCATGAGTATCCCCAAGATGGTCATTGCAAATTATTCATTCCATTCCATTGGATAGCCACTGCTTATTTTTCCAGTCCCTATTAAAGGATATGTAGGTTGATTCCATGAAATGCAGTAATTGCAATTTCAGTTTTCACCAATATTGAAAAATTGTCCTTCCATGAGATTACGTGTTTATGCTTCTATCAGCAAGAGAGTGCTTATTTTTCTCCTTTTGCAACATAGTATGTTTATAAATAGGAAAGGATAAAATGTGTTTTATTGTAATTAAAATTATTTTTAGTTGTTCTCTCTTCCTTTTTAAGTAAGCAGTGTTATTAAATACATCTACATCCTTTTTGCAACCATCACCACATCTGCACAACTCTTCATCTTGGACAACGAAAACTTTATGCTCGTTAAACAACTCCCTGTTCTTGTCTCCCAGGTCCTGGGAACCACTATTCGACCTTATATCTCCATGAAGTTGACTATCTGTCTTTGTTCCTTCAGCATAATGTCTTTACGGTTTACATCCATGCTGTAGCATGTGTCAGGACTTCACCTATTTGAGGAGAACACTCTTCCACATTTTGTTGATCCATTCACCTGTTGATCGATACCTGAGCTGCACCCACACTTGAGCTCTTGGTGAATAACACAGCAATGAAAATGCGCTCACAGATACCCCTGTGAGACCCTGCTTTCACTTCCTTTGGGTATATACCCAGAAGTGAAATTTCTGGATCATATGGAAATTCTATTTTTAGGTTTTTGAGGAAGTTTAACTGTTTTCTCTACACTGACACAACTTTACATTCTCATCAACACTGCACAACAGTTGTAACTTCTCCACATTCTTGCCAAAACTTTGATTTTCTATCTTGGTTTTTAAACAATAGTCATCCTAATGGGTGTGAGAGGCTTCTCACTGTCACTTACAAATGAATTTCTCTCACTGTGCATATGAGCGTCTTTTCAAATGTATAAGAGGTGGTATTTCCTGCTGCATGTACTATCTGTGCATTTCTTCCATCTATTTTTATTTTGAGTCTTTGGCCTTTTCTGAACAATTTTTTTTTATAGTATAGCAAAGCAGCACTTTGTGACTAGTTGAAAATGTATTCAGTTGCTGAAGTGCCCAGTAGGCGTTCAGTCTATGAACTATATGACTGGCTCCTATTTGTTCTTTCCCCCACCCCTTCCCGTGATTGTAATAGGTTGCAGAGTTTAGGTATTATCTGTGGGACCAAAGCTGACATCATTGAAGGACACAGCCCAAGAACAGAGTTCCCCATTTGAATCCTGCACATTTCCTCACACTAAATCCCCAACATCTTATTCACCCTAGATGCCAAGGACCGTGAGCCCTTGAGTCTGAACTCCCATCTAATCTAGACACCTCTCATTATTTGCAAACCAAAACTCAGCGTGCTTGACCAAACCAAAGACAGCATTTTTCTTTTCCCCTAGGGTGACATACTCAACAGGAACACAAAATCAAATTGCATTTTGCTATAAATTTTGCAGGCCACCTTTAATTCAAACAAGTACTTGAAATCTGTATGACCAAGGGAAATCCTGGACAAATGGTCCCTGTACTTCACACAGTGGGGAGGAGCACTGGCCCTGACCAGGAAGTCACTGCCATTTTTGACTCCTCTATTTGGAAACTCTTTCTTCCCCCAGCTTAGAAACTGCGTCTCCTTTGCTTACTGTCCTTGCTGCTGATTTTGTCCTCTGCAACTCTCCCAAGAAAGCCTCACACCGTTCTGCCAAAGCCCTTCCAGGATTTACAAACAGTCACATTCCGCCTCGCAATCCCAGGCTGGCCCAGGAGCGACAGTCCTTCCAGTAAATTTCGGGGACATGAAGGTGCAAACAGCACACCAGCCTGGGACACCCTGCGGACACTGAATTTGCCAGTGATCCTACTGAAATGTGCTAACATCCTCGCAACAAACACCATCCTCTTTCCTAAAGTCTAAATGCAGCGGGTTAAGGATTTCTGTCAACTCCAGCCATGGTGCATGTGTGCGTGAGGATGGGGGACTGGATCAGGTCCCAGTTCCTCCGGTGGTGCTGGCTCTGAAGAAGAGCAGAAATGCCACGCTCCCTGAGGACTGAATCCACATCCACACCCACAAGTCCTGCTTGACTCTGGAGCGCAACCTCTTGCTTTTGAAGGGAGAGCGCGAAAAGGGGAATGGGAGAGGAAAGAAATTAGGAATTTACAGGAGGATTCTCTGAGAGGAGACTTCTGTAAGCTGTGAGCAGAATAAGGTCTGTGAGGTGAGTGAACTGTTCAAAAACCTAGCACGAGTAGCATCCGTGTGACTAGAGGCCCACTCCAGAAGCTTCCAGGAGCCCCTGGGAGTGGGTGTTCTGGACAGCAGTTAAGACTCTGATTAATTATAGAATGACAAATGCCCTAAACAGCACTCTGACCTCAGAATCATCCCTTAAGGCATTCTGAAAAGCCCATAAGAGCATTTCAGGCATGGAAAGCCAAGACCTTGTGGCAAAAAAAAAAAAAAAAAAAAAAACACACACACACACACACAACAACACCATCACCTACATGAAGAATCTCTGATCTCTGTGAGTGAGACCCCAGGGGAAAGAAGGGGCCATCAAAGAATTTCTCCAAAGGGAGGAGAAAGCTTCCACTTTGCTCATGGCCTTGTCTAAATACTGACGGATATTGTGAACTAAAAAGCCTTGGCAGCTTATGTCAAGAGCATTGAGTAATCACTGCCATCATACAAAAGAGTGTTAATTGTTAAATTAACAACAGGAATCACTGTGTACTTACTCCCCATGTAGTACCTCTGTCCTCAATGAGTTGTACTATGAGAATTAACTGTAAAACTTATTCTCAAACAGTACTTTATATTATGTGTGTGTGTATGCAAATTGTTGAAATCTTTACTTAGTATAGAGTTGGTCTTCTATATATAAAGTTAATTAAAAACAAATCTTAATGAAGAAAGGGATGGGAGAGGGAGCAGGAGGTGGGATGGTTTGGGGGTGGGAAGGCGGATATGGGGGGAAGAACCACTATAATCCAAAAGTTATACCTATGAAATTTGTACTCATTAAATAAAAGGTTTCAAAAAGAAGAAGAAGAAGAAGAAGATGACTCTGGTTAAGACACTCGCATCCCAGTATTGGAGTACTTGGGTTGGATTCCCAGATCCTGCTCCTGGTTCCAGCTTCCTGCTAAGGTGAACCCACGTGGGAGACCTGACTGAGTTCTTGGCTCCTGGTACTGGGCCTGGCTGTTGCAGGCATTTGGGACAGTGAATCAGTGGATGGGAGCATGCTCACTCTCTCTCTCTCTCTCTCTCTCTCAAACAAACAAATGTTTACAAGAAGACTACCTGC